AGGAAGTCCAACCACCACTGAGACTGGCTCCAGATACTCCTTCAACCATGTACGGGCCTCTGATCACAGAAATGACATGTTCAAAAAACCCATTTACCAAATGCTATTGCTGTGAATTAACAATTGCATGCTGTGTAAGGGCTTACTGGAGACACGCAGGTTGATGTAACTGGACAGAGCAGAGCCAAACTCATTAGTCGCCGTGCACTGATAGACACCCTCATAGTCATTAGGACGACCCCAGAAGAAAATCTCTAATGTGCCAGAACGCCACCTCATGCTGACTTGAGGATCTCGAGCCACATTCAGGTACACTCCATTACGTGTCCATGTGAAGCTACGTGCAATAAGTGTCATTTATCAGTCAATGTATACATTTTACCTTGTGATCAATCAATATTTTAGCACTTTTTACACAACCAAACAAAGGCAAATCATAGGGAGACAAAGGCCAAAAAAGGTCTAGACATGGCAATTAACCTAGTTAGTCCAATAAAAGACTTGACATTTATTATTATATATTACAATGTGTGGACACTAAAGTGCTTGTTGGATACTTACACTGGAGGTGGATTCCCTGTTGCTTCACACTCCACTATAATAGGGTCAACAGGATCTACTATGTAGTCTTGAGGACTCTCTTTAAAGATCATTGGAGGCTGCCTGACTGTGGGGATATACAGTACACATAAAAATATAATGTTAAATGAATTAAAAGGACAACGTATGAGAATAAACAATGAACTTTGGTCACAAGGCCAGCTGTGGACAAGTTCCAAATAGCAGTTCCTCACCATCAGGAGGAATGTCCATGGCTAAAATCCATGTTTGCTGTAGGATAGTAAGTATGGCAGGAATCCTCCAACACTTCAGAGCTCTCATCTCTGCTGTGTACCTTATCGTGACCTAAAGAACAGAGAAAATACTAGCACCAGTACTAAGATAACTACAAAATACTCAAGTATTGCCCTACATATGCTTGTCTTGAATATCCTTTTTTGTTAATTCATAACTAATCTGTTTTCATAATTATTAATACTTTGTTTTGTTTTGTTTTGTATGAGTTGCGTAGAAGTTAATGGTAATCCATGAAAACGCTCGCTGCTATAGCGTTTGTAATGATGAAGCACATAAAACAAACTATCCCATATGCAAATGAATCGCTTGTTGTATTATTTTTCAGTTCCCGCCCTCTTCCGCTTTCCGCAACTGAGCCAAAAGGGTCTGGCTGCAGCTTGGCGCTTGCACTCTCAGATGTGCATTCTCAGGCTTGCACTCTTAGACACTTGCACTTCCGCTAGCGACGTCACTTGCAGTCTTTATTATTTTTTATTTTGTTCTATTTATTGATTACTTTTTGTTTGAATCTCTCAACATTTTACAACAGTAGCCAGGTGGTGAAGACAAGAAAAAAGAAACTAAATTACGAAGTCACTTGCAATAGCCACTTGCACTCTCCGACACCTGCGACGTCACTTGCAATCGACACAAATCGTGCGTGTTGTCAATGGAGACAAGACGCTGTGGTGGTGATGATTTAATGATTATTTATTTTATTTATTTATTTAGTCATTTATTAGAGGCTTTTATCCAAAGCGACTTACAAATGAGGGCAACAGAAGCAATCAATAAAAAAAAAATATATATATATATACACACACACACACACACACACAAAAATAATAAAGACTGCAAGTGACATCGCTAGCGGAAGTGCAAGTGTCTGAGAGTGCAAGCCTGAGAATGCACGTCTGAGAGTGCAAGCGCCAAGCTGCAGCCAGACCCTTCTCCAACTGAGAGCTATTTGCATTTACGCACCTCCGTACCCTGTGCGTAATCCTACTGCGTCAATGATAGTGTTACATTCAGAACAAGCACAAACGTGTTTATTTTTACATTTTAAAATGTAAAACCCGCTGAATTGTACATTACATGTGTATGTTTAATATACGATGATATTAATATGTTTAAAGAAACAGCCGTTTAATTATAAACGGACCAGATAAAAGACCAACAACAGGAAAATATTGAACTAGGCATGGATAATTTAATACGATATACATATACAAATACATAATGCACCTGTGTTTATAAAATAGCATAATTTACTTACTGCATTCTACATCACAAGTTTCCTAAAGTGGGAAAACAATAGCCTATGTGTATAATTACACAAACTAGCATAGCCTACCAACTGAACTGGAGTACCCAGGATTCACAAAATCTTCTTTATCCGTGTCAGCAGTTCATTTCACAGTGCTACAATAAAAACAAATATGATATATTATTCAAATAATGATATATTATACAAATACACATTTGTCAAGTACACCATCTGGAGATTGTTACCTTTTATATCAGCCCTGCAGTTTGTTTCCTCATTATGCTAATATTAATCTGTCATCATTGTCCCATTTTCCAAAAAAGGGCATTCCAATACCAAATGTATTTGTTGCATTCAAATAGGTCCAAAACAATGTCAATCCAAGCAGATGGCTTCTGTAATGTATACCTCTCCAACTAACATCCCTCTTCATTGTCTTCATCCATTTGCCCACTTTACCCATGAACCATGAATGACGTCCCACCCCCTCCATCTCTCTCTCTCTCTCTCTCTCTCTCTCTCTCTCTCTCAGTATACTTATGGAAGGTGTCCAAAAACAGCAAAATACATGTTAGTTATAGTGACAAAGGATTTACTGTAAAAATAGCTCTCTCTCTCTCTCTCTCTCTCTCTCTCTCTCTCAGTATACTTATGGAAGGTGTCCAAAAACAGCAAAATACATGTTAGTTATAGTGACAAAGGATTTACTGTAAAAATAGTGATTCAAGTCTTTATTTTAATTTCTGCCCTTTTATTAATTATCTTGTCATATTAACATAGGCCTTAAATAGCCAAATTCAGCTGAAAGATATTTTGCATTCTTTCTGATTATGACATCAATGTGTGGGTCTCATTGTTTGGTCCTGAAAAACTAAGCTAACTCATAATGAATGAAATGTTTGTTTCGCAGTGAAAATTTAAATGCGGTCATGCGACTCGTGACTGCATTTAAAAGAGATTTAAATCAGCTTTAATAAACTGGTACTCTTTTGTGTACTTTAAATATCCACTTTAACTGTATAACGCTTTAAACTTATTTAACATAAATGATCGTGGTCAAAAACAGAAAAAGTTGAATGAACTCCATGTCACAACAACGTCCAAGAGGGCAGAGCTTGACTCAGGAGAGAAGATGTGGGTGGAAACAGGATCTCAACCACTGAAACACATTCCCAACCCACATTGGCTCAGGCATCCAGGGACGCATAAAGTACAATATGCCAGTACGGCCTTACTGTACACTCCACAGATGACCTAATACGATGAAAGAACAAAAAAGTTCTTGAGTCAGCTCACTTAGTGAACAGAGACATAAGCATGATCTAATTCTGGTCATGTTCCTCAGTGGACAACGGTGCGTATGACATCAGCAGCGCTGCAGTGCCATGCACTAAACTGTACAGTGCAGGACACGAGCCTGAATGAACCGCTTCCTCCACAGACGGGACAATGAAACCTCTGTCCACAAGGACACAGTAAGCTGGCTCTGTTCAGACAGAATAACTCTGAGGGTTTTGTCAGTTCAGCCTTATAAGTGGCACTAAGCTTGTTTGGAAGAACATCTGCTGGTTAACCTGTCATGAGATGTTGAATCTAAATGTAAACATAACTGTATAACTATATAACCATAAGGAGGACAGGCTAACCTAAACTGCAAGATAGCACATTTTGTTTTCATATGCTGATTAATAATCAGTGGTTTTAGTACCATTTAAAAGTCTTTATTTTGTATTTGTATTCTGATTTTGCATTACATTAGCAAAGCCATAAATAGCCAAACTCAGTTGAAAGATATTGATATTTCACAGTTAGTGAGTGGTCTAAAAGCAAGACAGAATGAATGTAAACTCATTTAACAGTTAGCCGTTTTTTCCCATGCACAATTCTTTGTTTATATTCATAACTACTAACAGTCTCTAACTCGGTTTATATCTGTCTGTGTTGTTGACGCTGTCTTCAATGACAAATGTAATTCAGATGAAGCAGCTGACTCACAACTCTCAGCTCAAGTCAGAAAGGAGGATGACATTATAATGAAACATGCATTGTTTAGCTAACAGTGACATCACACTGTTTTACAGCCAGTAATGGTGGATCTCAAATAGCAATATGGTAGATACACAACTTTTAATATAAAAAATGTAATAAACATAAATTCATTAAATATATTTAAATATAATTAAATAATAAATAAATAAATCATATATGTAATATAATGAAACTTACCCAAGTTGATATTTCAGTGGTATTTCATACTTCAGTGTTCAGTGTTCAGATGGAGGATCCTGTGTCTGTTTTCAATTTACAAAAGCATCATTATTGTTTTGTCTCCTAAGCCATGACAGTCTGTCAAAAATCCTGTGATAAAAAAAAATCCACCAGTTGTTTGCAGTTTCAAGCAGAGGTTGAAGTAAAATAACTTCTCAGAGGGACAAATCTGCACAACTGTCCAAAATAACAAACAGTGCTCTTGACTGATGTCCCAGTCACCACTAGTCACATGAGCGATGACATTTAAGCATGGAAAACATCACTAAAATCACCATGATTAGACACTCTAATATACCGTATTGTATATTTAAAAGGAAATGGTCACACTGCCATAATCTGTCACTGTGTATGGTAATGATTTTCTATCATCTTTATAGTGAGACTAGTAGACAATATCCATAGGTTTTGTTTTAAAATCAATCCCATGACATTTAAAATGTCAAAACCACTGCATTTCCACTGTTCTCCCATTATTTCTATAGTCTGAACTTCACGGTTAATGTATTAAAAATACCTGAATTTTTAATTATACTTTACATCATCTCATATGTGCTTTAATCTTATTTAAAATATATATTATATTTAAAAAAAAAAACATAAACTAGTGATTATATAGAAGTAGTGCTCTTAGTTTTATTTCATTTCATAAATTAAAACAGAAATAAAGAAATAAATACATCAGTCTATAAATATTGACATTCATACAGAATTTATATTGGCATATAAGTGCTCAATACGTTTAGTCTAAAATGGCTGTGTATTTGATTTGTAACTTCTCTTACATGATTTGTAACTTGTCAAAACACAGCCCTTCACAATCTTGTGCGACCAGTAAGGACATATCGTTATAACTTAATGATGTTTTTGTATTATAGCTTTCATCCACATAATTGCATACATTCAACTGAATTCTCGTCAGTACTGTGTAAAGTCCACTCAAGCCCAGCGCTGCTGCAGCTCCCACGCTTTCCCCCCGATCCAGTCCCGTGTTTTCCAGATTGCTGAGCGTTCTGTCATCAGCACTTCACACAGGCGTTCCAGTTTGGGTCGGTTCCGGTCCAGGTACAGCTGTGTGTCTTTCTGCAGCTGATGAAGCACTTCAGGCCTGCTTTCATCCAGCGTCACGTTTGAGCTCAGCATCGGGTTAAAGCGGAAATACACATTCGGTGATAAGAGGTCATCCAATAGAGTGTGAACACCTGAAAATGACAGTATGAACAATATGTTGGAATGAACCTCAGTATATCCAAAGGGTTTTTTTTTTTTTAAGTGAAGTGCATATGCAAGTGTTTGCAAAACAGCACAGCTGGCTAAATGCACATTTATTTTAATTTTTTTCTTCCTAATAAAAATGTTAGCTTTTTTTACTTTAACAATTATATTCAGGATTTAAATGTACATTTATCCAACTAAAAGTTTTGTTTTATTCTGAAGTCATTATTTTAAGAGCCACAAAGAGAATGTTTTAAATAATTGTAAATTGTTTATTGTGCACAAGTAATAATTTCAAAAGTATTCTTTGCAAGTGCGTGCCAAACAGCACAGTTTTGACTGGCTAAATGTACATAGCATCAAAAATAATTTTGTATTTATTTTTTCTAATAAACTTTGTAGCTTTATTTTTTATAATTATATTCAGAATTTAAATATAAATGTATTCAAATAACAAATGCTTTTATCCAAAGTAATTATTTAACCATAAGAGCCATTTTTTAATTATTCAATAATTATAATGTGTGTATTGTACACAATTCATTATTGTAAAAGTATGTATTAATTATTAATAATATATTAATAATTGTATAGTTGTCTATACTGATAATTGTAAAATTGTGCTCATAGTGGTATAAGACAAACCCATGAAAGATACCTTTTTTAAAATTAAATTGTAAATTGTGCATTGAACACAATAATTGTAAAATTATTATTTGTAATATTAGTAAATGTAAAATGCTTCTCATAGTGATATCAGACTAACCCTCAGTATCGGTGGCGCTGCAGATCAGGTTGCTGATTTTGGCTCTCAGACTTGTGGAAGTTGCAGGCCCTCTTCTAGCATTATCATAGCGACCAGTTCCCAGTGACAGCACACACTGGAAGGGCAGGCTGGGCCACAGCAGTCGGCTTTCATGGACAGCCAGAGCACAAGGGTTATTGAGCATAAGACCACCATCCTGGAGAAAAAAGAAAGGAAAGAAGGTCTGGATACAAGTATATTTTGAGTCCTCAAATTTACTAGCCGTCTAAAATGGACTGTTCTGACCTGGTGTATGTCGCCATGAAGAGGGAACTCCTGGAAATATCCTGGAGCAGCAGATGAGGCCCGGAGAGCCTGCCACAGCCGGTATCCTGATCCTCCGGCATAGCGGCTCAGTCGTCCCGGAGCATGGTTATAGTTGCGGAAGATAAATGCTTTCGGACTTTTTCCCCAGTTCACTACGGCACTTACGGCAGACACCTGTGTGAGAAGAGAACAGCAGTCAGGAGATCACGAAAACCTGGATTTGAAAAAAAGCCAGATGCTATCTTTGATTGACCTTTGGGCTCAGCTCATCTCTGGCTGTTTTAATTAAAATCTCCTCCCCCATCTTCTCCCTATGATGAACATGTAGGAATAGTTAAGAAAGCAACGCTGGCATTAATACAGTATAGTTTTTTTTACTGTGTAAATCCAACCTTAAGATCATCTCCCATGTTTCTGTGCTGTAGTAGGAGTGCGTCCAGCCCATCTTCACAGTACCAACCAGGGGGTTTTGTCGAAAAACATCTGACCCGAAACGATGATACATCTCTTCACATTCATCTAAAGAGATATGAGCTAGACCCAACATAAAAGCCAGAACTGCTCCTGTACACCAAACGGAGACAAAAAGTTCATTATATAATATATAGGTATGTTATGTACCAAACATAGAGTAAGCTGGTCATTATTGCAAAATGAACCCAGACAAGGTGATTGAGAGCCCAATGCGGTAAATTATGCAGTCAGTTTTTACTATCTTTCAAAAGTTTGGGGTTGGTAAGATTTTTTAAAATGTCTCTTATGCTCACCAAGGCTGCATTTATTCATATATACAGTAAAAACAGTAACATTGTGAAATTTTTAGCATCATTACTCCAGTCTGCAGTGTCACATGGTCCTTCAGAAATCATTCTAATATGCTAATCAAGAAACATTTCTTATTATTAACAGTGTTTAAATGTTTGTGCTGCTTAATATTTTGTGGAGACCATAATAAATGTTTTTCAGGTTTCTTTGATAAATCAAAAGTTAAAAAGAACAGCATTTATTTAAAGAAGAAATCTTTTGTAACAAAAAAAAAGTTTGACCCCAAACTTTAGAATGTTCATGTATATATGTTTAGAATTGTAGAATAGTTTTGTCATCCATTATTACCAGTGCTGACTCCACATATGTAGTCAAAGAGTTGATACACTCGTTTTCCTGTTTGAGCCTCCAGCTGTTTTAGCACTTGTAGTGGAACTAACCCTCTGTAATACACGAAACAACTTTACGTAAAAAGCCATCTTGTCGTAAACACGTTTGTTTATATGAGGGACAAAAATATTTGACTTTTTTCTGTAAATTGCTCACAGATGTTCAGCATCCTTAAAAAGCTTTTTTGGAAAATGTATTGGATCATATTTGTCCAATTTTACAGGCATAAACTGTTGATTAAATGTGGTGTTTCCTACTTGGTTCCGCCTCCATCAATGGAAAGCACCCTGACCCCACAACCTCTGACCGGATCCACATAACCAATCAGAGCGAGAGTTTCCCTGATGACTTCTTGAAGTTTTTCATTCATCCAAAAGGTCCGGCAGCATCTAAGCAGCTGCATTGCTGCTTTTTCCTATATTTAATCAAAGAAATTAATCGAAAATTCTGAATTTCTACAGTTACAAGAGAGGTCTATATTTGGTGAAGGGATTGAGTGTTTTACTGTATACCTGCCACACCACAGCCTTGCATGCTGGGTGCTGAATGAGGTGAGCGTTCAGCTCCTCCACAAAGGAAGTGATAGATGATGGTACTGTAGCCTTTTCCAGTCTCTTCAGTAGAACTCTAGTCATCTCATCTGCCTTTCTCCTCCTTAAAACCTAGAAAACAGATTTCCTGCTATAATGAATCAATTTCATTGGCTTCAAAGCAGATTCACTGCAAAAATAAATAAATATATAAAAAAACTAAATAAAAATAAAAAAGGCTTTTACAAAATAAACACAAAAAATAAAAATAAATAAATACCGTTGTAGGATTTACTTTAAAACAATTTTCACTCAGAAATGTGTAAGTTCCACAAATAATTACAAAGAAACAGCAAGTAACACATTACATTTTGAGAAAGATGGAAAAATTTTTTCCAGTACAATGAACTCGAATAATCTTTGTTTTATTTACAACATTTACAACATTTTTTACTGTGTACTACAAGCAAATGCAAATGGATGCATTGATATTAAAATTCTGGCTGACACAATGAGCTGAAAATCATTTTCATGTTATTGCCAGTGACTGATAAATAAAATGATGTTCTATTTTGACTAAGCAAGGCAAAAATAAAACACTAAAAATGTAAATGCTACAAAGTGAATTTAGGCATCACAACACTATAATGTACAATATGAAAAATTTATATAAATTTGGGGATTTGCAAAAAAACTAAACAAAAAAAGGTAAAGGTGTTATGTTATTAATGAATTAACAATCATAATAATCATTTAAAAATCTTCAGGTAACTGATATGGTACCTATATTGTGCATCCCTAGCACATGGACCAATGGGGAAAAAAAGTATATCAGTACTCCTAGCTGTCATTCACTCAATGGAACTCATACTAGTTCCAAAATTCAATTGCCAACATACTTGAGTAGGGGTGTCTGATTAAATTAATTATGATTTCTGGTCATGCCAAAGTCAGCAAGACTCACTGTTTTATCCAGAATTTCCTCTGGGGTCCTTGTTACAGTTGTGGTCTGGTCACTATGCCTGGAAGAGCCCATTCCCAGGTAGCTGCCCACAAAGTCAGGTATAGTTGAGGGTTTCAACAGACACTCAAAAAAGGACACTGGTTTTTCCTGGATCACAGTGTACTTATGTGAACCTCTGTAAAGGTTTAACTCTCCATCTACCTCCTCATTCTCTGAAGCTGCAGATCCTTTAAAGTACCGGTTAACGTGGTTGGCCATGCAAGTGTAATTTTCCCCAAAGCGAGTGGTGAGGCTGCTCATGTGGAACAAGCCTGGGGATTTGGGCTGAAGAAGTGGATCTTTAGGTTTATTTAGAGTGTCCAGTGAAACTGAAGTCTTCAAGATGTTCATCTCAGTATGTGGTGATTTCTCAACAGTATCTGCTACATTTGCTCCAAAGTATCGGTTGATGTGACGGGCAAAATGGAGATATCCTTCATCCCAGGAAATAGATACATTGTTATCAATCTCTGGTCTTGTACCCATACTAATGTTTTGCTTAGTTTGCGCAGTTTTCCTACAAAGACCACTTTTATTATTCATAACTCTTCGCTTTCTGCTTCTAGACCTTTTGAGCCCATCATCCGGTGATACCTCCATGTGAATTTGCTTTGCTGGATTTCTAGAGAATACAGAGTTAATGTGATTGGCCACATAGATGTAACTCTCCCCAAATCTGTTTGCCAAGGAACTGATGTGGAACAACTGTAGTCCAGGATAGGCTGAGGTCAAAGGTTGATGTGAGGAAGATTCAGAGACCTGCTCAATGGCAGGTGTCCCTACAAAAGCTCTGGACTCTCCAGTGTGTCTCTCTCTCTGAACTCGTCTTGATGTTCTGGTTAGCGGTTCCTGCACTGCACACATCAATCCACCTTGCCCATAATCTATCACAGATACCTGTTTCTGCTTAAAGTACAAGTTTATGTGTCTGGAGAGATGATTAAAAGACTCTCCTAATCTCAGTCCAAGCAAGCGCAGCCGAAAAGTAATCCTGCTGTGCTGGTAAACTCCAATGGGAGCTTCTGCTTTGAAAGTCTCTCTACTGGAGGTTGAGTATAATCGATACATCTGAAGGCCCCATACATTCTCATATTTCATATTACTGCTAATTGCTCCAAAAAGTCTGATAGTCTTCTTTGATCTATGAGATTTGAGAGGGATTCTCCTTGTAGACTGAGAGGAGCAGATACTCTGACATGACCTATGAGGCCTCCTGACAAGGTGAGAAACATTTCTGATGTTTGTGAGCAGATACTTGTACAGTAACCGGAGCCGCTTTGACCCCAGGTGAGTGACCCGGGTTTTGTCGAGGTACCAAGCCATCAGTGAAGCACCAACAACAACAGAGACCAAGCAGATGATCTGAATGAGGACTGAATGAGCATTGGCAGCAGAATCAGAATCATGGAATGTCTAAAATAGAAAGAAGCAAACAAAAATTCAGCAAAGCGAAAGAGATTCTTATTCATAATGTGTCTGTCTGTCCTTGTGGTGTATACTTAAGAGAAAGGTCAGTTCTTTGTATTTATTCCCATAAATAGGAAAAATAATGAAGATCATTATAATGTTTAATAATGTAGACCACAGTGTTGATTTATGTTTGTACGCCCCCTCCTGGTCAGTTATGGAGGATTTATATACTTGTGTTACTTATATATAAAACTATAGTTAAATTAAATAATGAAATTTCGCAATAAATAAATAAAGTGTAAATAAATGTCAAAAATACATCCATGTCCAATGGACAAATGTAACTTATGTTATCCATTTACTGACTTTTTCATTATTTTTTGACAAGTTTGGCACCACAAATCCTCCATAGTCAATTTCTTTTATAGTTTGTACTTGTGCTAATTTATCAATAGTAATTCAAAGCAAATCTTCTAATAAATGACACACCGCCATGCAGATTACAAACCAAATAGTTACAGAAAAAAGTGAGCCAATTCGATTAATAAACATTCAGTCCCTTTAACCGTGGTTTTAATTAGACAATTTTAATTAAGTCTTTAATTCAACAATCTCTTTAGGGATTTTGCAGAGTGGATTTTATAAACCATTCTGTGAATAAGAACAGGGTGACTGTGCTCAGAACTATGAAATAGGACACCAAGGTGTCGACTGTAGGTCAGAAAAATACCCCGTTTGGTACTTCCATGAACCTCCAGTACATATTTATAGTTGCCTGTTGGTCACATGGCAGACAGCAGAGAAGTGCAACTATTTGCCTCTTTTGTCTTTATTGTGATCTATGAGGACTGGCAGACAAGGTGAGAAACATTTCTGATGTTTGTGAGCAGATACTTGTACAGTAACCGGAGCCGCTTTGACCCCAGGTGAGTGACCCGGGTTTTGTCGAGGTACCAAGCCATCAGTGAAGCACCAACAACAACAGAGACCAAGCAGATGATCTGAATGAGGACTGAATGAGCATTGGCAGCAGAATCAGAATCATGGAATGTCTAAAATAGAAAGAAGCAAACAAAAATTCAGCAAAGCGAAAGAGATTCTTATTCATAATGTGTCTGTCTGTCCTTGTGGTGTATACTTAAGAGAAAGGTCAGTTCTTTGTATTTATTCCCATAAATAGGAAAAATAATGAAGATCATTATAATGTTTAATAATGTAGACCACAGTGTTGATTTATGTTTGTACGCCCCCTCCTGGTCAGTTATGGAGGATTTATATACTTGTGTTACTTATATATAAAACTATAGTTAAATTAAATAATGAAATTTCGCAATAAATAAATAAAGTGTAAATAAATGTCAAAAATACATCCATGTCCAATGGACAAATGTAACTTATGTTATCCATTTACTGACTTTTTCATTATTTTTTGACAAGTTTGGCACCACAAATCCTCCATAGTCAATTTCTTTTATAGTTTGTACTTGTGCTAATTTATCAATAGTAATTCAAAGCAAATCTTCTAATAAATGACACACCGCCATGCAGATTACAAACCAAATAGTTACAGAAAAAAGTGAGCCAATTCGATTAATAAACATTCAGTCCCTTTAACCGTGGTTTTAATTAGACAATTTTAATTAAGTCTTTAATTCAACAATCTCTTTAGGGATTTTGCAGAGTGGATTTTATAAACCATTCTGTGAATAAGAACAGGGTGACTGTGCTCAGAACTATGAAATAGGACACCAAGGTGTCGACTGTAGGTCAGAAAAATACCCCGTTTGGTACTTCCATGAACCTCCAGTACATATTTATAGTTGCCTGTTGGTCACATGGCAGACAGCAGAGAAGTGCAACTATTTGCCTCTTTTGTCTTTATTGTGATCTATGAGGACTGGCAGCGGCCTTTGCGTCACGTTGTGTACAGACAGTTCCACAACATGCCTGTATCCATGTGCTTAGGCACAGTGAATCAACGAGTCCTCTATTTAAAATGCCAGACATAGTAAAAATTCACCAGCAGCCCCAGTGACTGCTTTCTCTTTTGTAATTTGTTCCAACGTGTAAAATATTAACACAAAGGCTGACCCTAATGTATATCATAAACAACTGAGAATTTAAATGCTACACAAACTTCAGGATCTATTCTCAGACCCATATTCAGCAAAAATTACAAATGCACTAGTAACACGAGGTCTATATTTTTATATAAAAAAATGTTATTAAGCAATACATATTTTAATGAATGATAGAAATCTATTATTAGAGTCATAAATCTCATTGGCCTTAATAAAACAAACAAATCAGAGATATATACACACACTGTCTATTGGTTGTAATTCTGTAAGATAGAGTGTGAATGTTTACAGTGTGTAGCTTAAGTATTGATTACAACTTGTAACATAAAAAAATCATATTTTATTCTTCACTAAAACAGAAGGTCAAGTTAAGTCCAATTCAACAAAGCACACTTAACCTTGAGGGTCACTTGTAGATTTCAAATAAACTAGTTATTTTGTCTTACCTGTCGCTCTCTCTTTTTCTCCTGAACTTGACTTCAAGGTGATAAATAAATGCTGACTTTCCTTCCAAAACACTTATATTGCTTGTTTTCTCTTGGATTACGTCCTGTGGTGTTTACACTTGTTTCTGTTGTGGTTTTTAATCCCACCCTACTCTGAAGTTAAAATCCTATTGGTTGGTTTAAAGGGACTACTGACCAAACCCCTGACCATTTCTCATTAAAGGACAAGCTGTCCTTCCGCATCTTAACAGTTGATGTCCAGTCAGGAGGCTTCTAAATTTAGAAAAAGTTCCCTCAGAACTGTTCAGTGTCAACACTCTGGCATCATTTCCCTCACAGTACGAGTAATTTATTGTATATACATATATCACAGTTTTTTGTTTTTTTTAAGTTGGAGATCTTAATAAAAGATCATTTATTCTGTTCACATATTGACATTACAGTTATATTCAGACTCTTAAATATTAAATGCAATAAACTTAACAAATAACAATAACAGCTGTTACTTCCAATACATCCATTGACCTGGAAAGTCTGTTTTAAAGCTCTCTATCCCTTATGACTATTTTTTAGCACAGTGTCCAGTGGTGCAGCCCTCTCTGCCGGTTCACTTCAGTCTGTTTCTTGCAAACACCCCATACGCTCGCTCCATTACAGGCCTGAACAGTGGGAGAGAGATGAACGTGCCAAGCCAAGCCAAACCCACCAGTACATCACTGTGAAAGCTGGAACTCCACGATGAATCTGCTCTCAGAATAACAAGACGTCACATTGAGGAATAATGAATTATATTTGATAAGGCGTTCCTTGAATTTAAATACCATACAAATGTTTCTGAATGTTTTAGACTGAGGACAACCAGTGAGAAACCATGAAAAAAATTCAAAAGAATCAAAGGAAAACCCAAAAGATTCATAGATTTTTTTCAGAAAGTTGGTAACTAGTTTAAAATTCTCAAAATTATTCCAAATGAGGGCGAGTAAATTATGACACATCATCATTTAGTGTGGACTTTTTAAATGCTCTTGTGACTTGTGAAAAAATAAATAGATAAATAAAATAAAAATCTCTCACCTTGTTCTCTCATCAATCACAGTCATTTCCTCCATTGCCATCTCATAACTGACTCCTTCATATTTGCTCCCATCATATTCTGGCAGTGAGATGTCCACAAAATCTACTTTATCTGCTCTATTTCTCTGAAGAAACCTAATTTCTTTAACACATATTGGGCATTCTCCATCATACAGCATCTATGACACAAAATGAACATGATACACTGCTTATAAGGATGCCTGGGTGGAAAGCTCATTAGGCTGCCTTCAAGATATTTCTTCTATGATACGTACAAGCTCAAAAATGTACACTCGTCTATATACAGTATGCGTGCAAAATATTTATTAGACTATCCTGGGCGTAAAAACAACGTCACTGTAATTAGCTTAAGGAAGAAGTGTGTTCTCACCCTTATAGTGTCAGAAGATCCTTGTCCTCTCTTTAGAGAGCAGAACAGTCGCTCTGCAATAACGACTCTCGTTCTGGAGTCGGTATAACGTAAAGCTCCAACCAAAGGTAATCTGATAGCCATTTTAGTCTTATAAACTGATTTGACAGAGAAAGGAGCATTTTAAATTACGTGCTGTACTTTATGACTTGTTCCGATGTCTGTTAGCCAACTCGCTAAGAACTTACACAACACATTTAGGTAACGCGTTAAGAGACGAAGTAACTTAACACTTATTTTTACATACCGAGTAACGTATGCAAGCATGTGTGATGACGACATTTCAGTATTGCGGCATCAAGTTAATTATTGTATTTGATCATTAGTATATTATTCAAAACAAAAGCCAGTTCACACGTGAGATCACCGACTTTTCCAAAATAAAAGTCCCACACACTGTACATTCTAAATATATGAAAGAAAAAAAATAAATAAAAAATCGGGACTAAAAAAAAACTGTGACTGTATCTTCCACTTATTAAAAAGTAAATATGTAATCCGACACAGCCTCGACTGGACATTACAATCTTTATTTTAAATAATGTTTTTATACAAATAATAAAAAAAAAGAAAGATCCATCCCCAGACAGTGATATGAGCTATTCATATTTTTACTTTCCCTTGCTCTATGCAATTCATGTTTCGAGCTGCTCTGGACAAATTTACCAAACAATGAAATTAATTTCCAACAAAAGAAAAAAAAAAAACACAAAATACAACAAAATATATCATTTCATCAAGCCACGCCTTTATTTCTCTTGTGTATAAATTGTACAAACAATTGTGTAGATCAAATCAGCAACATCTTAATGTGACCCAGTCCCTGATCTCCATCTACATCGTCAATTCCTGTAAAGGCAGGCAAAAAGATGAATTAAGTAATACTGCTTGAAACCATGGCACCACATTTAAAGCCTGAGCTCTTCTCAGAACAAATGAACTGGCTTCAGGACAAATTCAGAAGAACGAAAGTCAAATGTTAATTCATCACAGAAGAGTTTTGAAAAAAAAAAAAAAAATTGAATTGTAAAATGCATTTTATTTAACTGCATAAAGTGAGAACTTTTAAAATAAAGTTATCAGTTTAACTCACCATAATAGCATTGACAATGTCATTATTGTTATTCTTCAGTGCACGCACGGCCTTTGCCCTAGATACATTGGCCTGTGACATGACCAGCTCAATGTCCTTGACCTCCACTCCGGTCTCATCAACCTGCAAATGGTAAAGCAAATCACTCATGAATGTGGACATTTACTTTTCACATTTGTTGAACACATCAACAGAAGACCTTTCATGAAGCATCTTCAGTATTATTCTGTTCTAGAATCACAATAGTGTTAACACTCACCTCTTCCTCTTCGCTCTCCTCCTGTACTGTGGGCGTCTGTGTGTTTTCCTGGATGTTTGAAACGGCTTCTCCTTGAACCTTGAACTTCTCTGCGGCTGCTAACTGAGCTTGCTGGGACAGATCTTCAATCTGAGAGGAGCAAAAAGCATCAGGATTTTAGTTTGTTTTGTGAGCTTCAGTGTGTTCTTCACTTACACCACTGTGAAAGTTTCCTCTCTCAGGACAGAAAGTTTGGCTTCATCAGACTCAGAAGAACGAAAGTCAAACTGTTTAAATCATCATCAAAAGGTCACTTAGGTCTAGATCACCAGGCAAGGTTGCCATGTAGAATTAGTTATCAACCTAAACAGGGCTGAAATAGAAGTACACCAACCTTAAATAAGAAAGCAGATTTTATTCTAATCTTTACCTTGGCCTCACCGAAGACAATGTAAGTATCTGAAGCTGGACTTTTGTAGACATCTGGTTTGGTGATGACAAAGAGAATGTTCTTGGACTTGCGAATGGTTACTCTGGTAACACCAGCAACTTGTCTCAACCCCAATTTGGACATGGCCTGGCAAAAAGAAGAAAGGGTACAGATAAACAACACTGCATTAATTCTAATTGAATTTGGTGTTAAAATTACATTCATTCAGTTCCTGTGGATGACCTACCTTCCTGGCTTTCTTCTCACTCCTGCTTTGTTTCGCTTTGCTGACTGGTTCCTCATCGATTTCAGCTGCAGCTGCAAGCTGTGGAAAGGGAACGCAATTTCAATTCATGTCAATGCCAAATTGTAAATGAAACGGTGAAAGAAAATAAAGCGGAGGGAAATTAATGCTTTTTGTATGTGCTGATCAAAAGAATCCTACCTGTGCCTGCTGTGTTTGTGTCTGTGCAGAGTCCTGGTCCTCCAGTTCAGGAACAGATTCGTCACTGTCAGATTCAGTGCCAGACCCTAAAACACCAAGACACATTAAGTTAATTTGCCATTAGACACATAGATTTTCACCAAAAATCCTGTTGGAATAGTCAAACTCTTCAATGGCAATGGAGAAAAGGGTGGATCAGTTTTACGGTGTTTTAAATTGCACAAATACTTTAATACCCTTTAATATACCTCAAAATAGAAGCAAACGTAAATTGCCATTATGCTTATAACTCTGAACAATATCCACATTGATAAACCATTCAACTATTGGCCCTATGCTCTTTGAACTACTTCCTGAAAAGCATCCAACTAAAGCTTTAATTTAACTCAAAAGACTAAGAAAAGGCGATTTCCAGACCATAGTTACCAGGCTAACTTTCACTGATGAAGTGACCCTAAAGAATTTGTGGGGAGGAAGCATTTGACAATATATACCAGCATATGCATAAAAAACAAAAACAGACAGAAAGAGATAGAAAGAGATACCCTTGTCGTTCTTGATGACTGGCTCCAGTATGGATGGGGCTTTAACTGGTTTGGGAACAGGGGCTGGCTCAACTTTAGTGACAAGGACAGGTTCAGCTTTAGGGGTAGGGGCAGCCTCAACTTTAGGGGCAGAAGCCTCAACTTTAGGAGCAGGGGTAGGCTTAACTTTAGGGGCCGGAGCGGACTTAACTTTAGAAGCTGCAGCCTCAACTTTAGAGGCAGAAACAGGCTTAACTTTAGGGGCAGCCTCAACTTTAGGGGCAGAAGACTCAACCTTAGGAACAGCAGCCTCAACTTTAGGAGCAGCAGCCTCAGCTTTAGGGGTAGGCTTGCCTTTAGGGGCAGGAGCAGCCTCAGCTTTAGAAGCAGGGGCAGGCTCAACTTTAGGGGCAGGAACAGCCTCAACTTTAAGGGCAGGAACAGCCTCAACTTTAGCAGCCGCCGCATCAGCTTTAGGAGCAGCAACAGGCTTAACTTTAGGGGCAGCCTCAACTTTAGGGGCAGAAGACTCAACCTTAGAAACAGCAGCCTCAACTTTAGGAGCAGCAGCCTCAGCTTTAGGGGTAGGCTTGCCTTTAGGGGCAGGAGCAGCCTCAGCTTTAGAAGCAGGGGCAGGCTCAACTTTAGGGGCAGGAACAGCCTCAACTTTAAGGGCAGGAACAGCCTCAACTTTAGCAGCCGCCGCATCAGCTTTAGGAGCAGCAACAGGCTTAACTTTAGGGGCAGCCTCAACTTTAGGGGCAGAAGACTCAACCTTAGGAACAGCAGCCTCAACTTTAGGAGCAGCAGCCTCAGCTTTAGGGGTAGGCTTGCCTTTAGGGACAGGAGCAGCCTCAGCTTTAGAAGCAGGGGCAGACTCAGCTTTAGGGGCAGGAGCAGGCTCAACTTTAGGGGCAGGAACAGCCTCAACTTTAGCAGCCGCCGCCTCAGCTTTAGGAGCAGCAACAGGCTTAACTTTAGGGGCAGCCTCAACTTTAGGGGCAGAAGACTCAACCTTAAGAACAGCAGCCTCAGCTTTAGGGGTAGGCTTGCCTTTAGGGACAGGAGCAGCCTCAGCTTTAGAAGCAGGGGCAGACTCAGCTTTAGGGGCAGGAGCAGGCTTAACTTTAGGGGCAGGAACAGCCTCAACTTTAAGGGCAGGAACAGCCTCAGCTTTAGGAGCAGCAACAGGCTTAACTTTTGCAGCAGGAGCAGCCTCAGCTTTGGGAGCAGCAACAGGCTTAACTTTAGCGGCAGGAGCAAACTCAGCTTTAGGGGCAGCCTCAACCTTAGGGACAGGAACAGGCTCAGCTTTAGGGCTAGGGGAAGACTTTTCTTTAGGTGCAGGAGAAGCCTCAACCTTAGGGACAGCCTGAGCTTTAGGTGTAGGAGCAGCCTCAGTCTTAGGGACAGAACGGACTGCAACTTTAGGGGCAGGAGTAGGGTCAATTTTAGGTGCAGCCTCAACGTTTGGGGCAGGTGCTGCTTTCTGTTGAGCCTTAGGAGCTGGCTTAGCTTTGGGAGCAGCCTTTGCTTTAGGGGCAGATTCAACTTTACTGGTAGAGACAGGTTCTGCTTTAGGAGCTGGTGGGGTAACTACGGGCATTATACTAGGTGGCATAGGTGGGAAAGCAGGCATTGTAAAAGGATTCTCAGGTGGTAAGAGAGGTGGGAGATCATCATCCTCAAATGCTGCAGAAGCAGGTTTTGGGGGAGCAGCAGTGGCTGTGTTCACATTTGGCACTTGGGCAGGGACAGGCTTAGCAGCTGCTTTTGAAGGCAAAGGAGTCTTGGCATCTGAAACAGCAGGGGTTGCTACTTTTGGAGCTTCAGGGGCAACCTTGGGGGCTTCAGCCACTTTGGGTGGACTGGCGGCCACAGCTTCTGTAAATGACTTTGGTGCTGGGGCAGCAGATTTAGAAGTTACTTTAAAGGCAACAGGAGCCACAGCAATTTTGGGAGAGACAGGGGAAGCATTTCCATCTCCTGCTGATTTTGCTACCTCTGGTACTGGTATAGCAAGAGACGGTAGAGCTGCAACTGGTGCAGGATCCTGAGCAGGCTTAGAGGCAGAGGGAGGTGCTTGCTCAGGTTCAGAAAATTCTTTTGCTTCCCTTGTTTGCCAGCCTTTACCACCCTGGGAGCAGTCTGCTCAGTTTTCCCAGCTTTCCCAGCTACAGCTGGAGTAGAGGCCAAAGGGGAGCATGGAGGGGTAGCACAAGGGCCAGAGGCAGATTTAGGAGAGGTAGGGGAGCTTGAGGAAGCAGATAGAGAGGAGCGTTTCCTGCGTCCAGCAGGAACTGGCTTAGGAGCGGTGGTGTGAGGAGAAGAGGACAGCTTGGGGTTAGTTTTGCCCTCTTTAGGCTTTGCCTGAGAGGGAGCAGGGGCCGCAGCAGCAGGTGTGGCTAATGGAAATAAAAGAGCTAGTGTGACTTTTTTGGCTATTAAAAAGTGCATGGTGTAAACCATCACATCCATGCTGGTTATGAGGGATGCTGTCAATTGCACGAATGTGTTAAATCGCTCCACAAAAGGACAACTGGCTACTAAATCAAACCAAACACACCTTGATTATCTTGTTAGAAATTTTAAGACTTTGTAAAAACACCACTCAACTGCACATGCGTGAACCAGACAGGAACTGGCAACGAACTACAGCATCTAAAAAGATTTGTAATAAACTAACATTGTTCAAAGATTAACACAATCTTTGGCACATTTAAAGTCCATGTAAACTGGATGTTGCTACCAACTTCAGTATTCTGATGCGGACTTTATATGCAATACTTTATGGTAAATTAGACTTAAAGACAATTTACTAAAAATCTGAAAGGACAATCACTCAGTTAAACAGTGTAATATTGCCTATTCAGCAAATAAAGTTGAAACTAAACTGAAATAGTGAATATTAGTAAGCAAATGCCCTCAGAGGCACAAGTAATAAACTGCATTTTGTTGAAAATATTTGTAAAAAAGTGGTGTATTGCTTCTACAGTACATGATCCCAATTAAAAACAAGTCTAAACATAAATCTATTGTGAAATAATGATCACAGAGCAATATAAACTTGGCTAAAAAAAAAACACTATTATGCATGAGATTGGATAAGTTTTATGTGCATTTGTGTTTAAAAAGACACAGTAAAATTTACCACGTTGCTGGTTAAAATTATGAACTGTAATCCCACGATCAGTATCGGTAGATTATCAATAATAGGCCACAAGATGCACTTCTAACTTTCATTACAAAAAAAAGAAAGAAACAAAATTCATAAACTTTACTTTACAACTTTCACGACAGACTACAGAGACAACAGAGTGCCCACTGCTAATTTATGCCATACAATGCCCAAGTCCCAACTTCAATTAAAATTCAAAAACAGCAGTTAAGAAATCAAGAAGTATGTGAAATGTATTCAATCAGAGAATGTATCAAATACTTAGCTCTTTTATTATAAATCTGAGGAGAAATATCATGACTCTCAAAACCAAGGCAATAACATTCTGCCTAGTGGAAAAACCTTGTCTCTTGCATGACAAAAATGCCCCTTGTAACTGATCCAAGAAATCATATTTCTTATTCATATTGTCATAACTGCAGTTTACCAAAGTGCTATCCAAGAGATATAGCCTACTGTTCCATATTTATGACTAAACTCGCCCAGTTTTTGACCAAGATTTGTATACTTAGTCAACTTAAAATGATTAATTTTGTTGCTTTAACACTTAGCTATAAATATTTACATTGTGAACCAAATGATGCTGTACATCACAACCTACACAAAAAAAAACTTGTTCCACAAAATCAGAATCATTGGGAGACTTCATTTGTAAACATGCTAAATTGCATGATTCTCTTCACAAAGACCAGAAAACCTTGCAAATACATTCACGTATAATAAATCCCTCCAATAAAGAACAATACATTTCCTAATCTAAGACAATAGCTTTAAAAAAAAAAAAAACCTTGTTATAAATGTCTTACAGCTATTCAGGTTGCAATCACTCAAGTTCAGTGAAATGTTAGGAAAATGTTCATGCAGAGTAGTACTGTCCATATTCCATGCACAAAAATTTAAGGATGCATGTGCTTTCTATATCACAACTCAACTTTAGTGTAATATTAATCAGTACAGGCAAACACACTGTTGAGCAAGGCAGTCCTGGATCACTCACTGGATTTTCAGAACTACCCTTTACTACCTCATTTCCAATCAATATATCCATTAAGTAGGCTAAATAATGAAATAAAAAAACTACACTGAACGTAAGAGCTGCAGCTTAAAGAGCTAATTCTTCCCAAAAACTGTCATAACTTCTTTTTTTTATGTTGACAAATGATATATATATAAATCCAGTTTTTTTTGTCTGTAAAATTAAAGTCAATAACATTCTCCAAAATATCTTCTTTTGTGTTCCACAGAAGAAATCCATACAGGTTTGGATCAACATAAAAATTGGCTGAACTATCCCTTTGCCAGAACTAGTGCAGTTTTTTTTTTTATCCAGGGAGGGGCTCAAAAACATTAACCTAAAAACCTCTAGCTGGAGAAATCTGACTCAAACAGCATCCCCACCCTTCAAAAAAAAATATCACCACTCCAACTAGAGAAACTCGCTTTGTGAAGTTTCTACAACAGCTGGTAGAGGACCATTAAAAATTAAAATTCTTTGCTTTCTGTTGCTTCCCTTGTTTGCCAGCCTTTACCACCCTGGGAGCAGTCTGCTCAGTTTTCCCAGCTACAGGACAGTCAGCTGGAGTAGAGGCCAAAGGGGAGCATGGAGGGGTAGCACAAGGGCCAGAGGCAGATTTAGGAGAGGTAGGGGAGCTTGAGGAAGCAGATAGAGAGGAGCGTTTCCTGCGTCCAGCAGGAACTGGCTTAGGAGCGGTGGTGTGAGGAGAAGAGGACAGCTTGGGGTTAGTTTTGCCCTCTTTAGGCTTTGCCTGAGAGGGAGCAGGGGCCGCAGCAGCAGGTGTGGCTAATGGAAATAAAAGAGCTAGTGTGACTTTTTTGGCTATTAAAAAGTGCATGGTGTAAACCATCACATCCATGCTGGTTATGAGGGATGCTGTCAATTGCACGAATGTGTTAAATCGCTCCACAAAAGGACAACTGGCTACTAAATCAAACCAAACACACCTTGATTATCTTGTTAGAAATTTTAAGACTTTGTAAAAACACCACTCAACTGCACATGCGTGAACCAGACAGGAACTGGCAACGAACTACAGCATCTAAAAAGATTTGTAATAAACTAACATTGTTCAAAGATTAACACAATCTTTGGCACATTTAAAGTCCATGTAAACTGGATGTTGCTACCAACTTCAGTATTCTGATGCGGACTTTATATGCAATACTTTATGGTAAATTAGACTTAAAGACAATTTACTAAAAATCTGAAAGGACAATCACTCAGTTAAACAGTGTAATATTGCCTATTCAGCAAATAAAGTTGAAACTAAACTGAAATAGTGAATATTAGTAAGCAAATGCCCTCAGAGGCACAAGTAATAAACTGCATTTTGTTGAAAATATTTGTAAAAAAGTGGTGTATTGCTTCTACAGTACATGATCCCAATTAAAAACAAGTCTAAACATAAATCTATTGTGAAATAATGATCACAGAGCAATATAAACTTGGCTAAAAAAAAAACACTATTATGCATGAGATTGGATAAGTTTTATGTGCATTTGTGTTTAAAAAGACACAGTAAAATTTACCACGTTGCTGGTTAAAATTATGAACTGTAATCCCACGATCAGTATCGGTAGATTATCAATAATAGGCCACAAGATGCACTTCTAACTTTCATTACAAAAAAAAGAAAGAAACAAAATTCATAAACTTTACTTTACAACTTTCACGACAGACTACAGAGACAACAGAGTGCCCACTGCTAATTTATGCCATACAATGCCCAAGTCCCAACTTCAATTAAAATTCAAAAACAGCAGTTAAGAAATCAAGAAGTATGTGAAATGTATTCAATCAGAGAATGTATCAAATACTTAGCTCTTTTATTATAAATCTGAGGAGAAATATCATGACTCTCAAAACCAAGGCAATAACATTCTGCCTAGTGGAAAAACCTTGTCTCTTGCATGACAAAAATGCCCCTTGTAACTGATCCAAGAAATCATATTTCTTATTCATATTGTCATAACTGCAGTTTACCAAAGTGCTATCCAAGAGATATAGCCTACTGTTCCATATTTATGACTAAACTCGCCCAGTTTTTGACCAAGATTTGTATACTTAGTCAACTTAAAATGATTAATTTTGTTGCTTTAACACTTAGCTATAAATATTTACATTGTGAACCAAATGATGCTGTACATCACAACCTACACAAAAAAAAACTTGTTCCACAAAATCAGAATCATTGGGAGACTTCATTTGTAAACATGCTAAATTGCATGATTCTCTTCACAAAGACCAGAAAACCTTGCAAATACATTCACGTATAATAAATCCCTCCAATAAAGAACAATACATTTCCTAATCTAAGACAATAGCTTTAAAAAAAAAAAAAACCTTGTTATAAATGTCTTACAGCTATTCAGGTTGCAATCACTCAAGTTCAGTGAAATGTTAGGAAAATGTTCATGCAGAGTAGTACTGTCCATATTCCATGCACAAAAATTTAAGGATGCATGTGCTTTCTATATCACAACTCAACTTTAGTGTAATATTAATCAGTACAGGCAAACACACTGTTGAGCAAGGCAGTCCTGGATCACTCACTGGATTTTCAGAACTACCCTTTACTACCTCATTTCCAATCAATATATCCATTAAGTAGGCTAAATAATGAAATAAAAAAACTACACTGAACGTAAGAGCTGCAGCTTAAAGAGCTAATTCTTCCCAAAAACTGTCATAACTTCTTTTTTTTATGTTGACAAATGATATATATATAAATCCAGTTTTTTTTGTCTGTAAAATTAAAGTCAATAACATTCTCCAAAATATCTTCTTTTGTGTTCCACAGAAGAAATCCATACAGGTTTGGATCAACATAAAAATTGGCTGAACTATCCCTTTGCCAGAACTAGTGCAGTTTTTTTTTTTATCCAGGGAGGGGCTCAAAAACATTAACCTAAAAACCTCTAGCTGGAGAAATCTGACTCAAACAGCATCCCCACCCTTCAAAAAAAAATATCACCACTCCAACTAGAGAAACTCGCTTTGTGAAGTTTCTACAACAGCTGGTAGAGGACCATTAAAAAAAACCCTTTAGAAAATCTAAAACAGGTGCAAAAACACCATAAAAATAGACTGATCAAACTTACAGTACCTGCCTTATTTTTTTTAAATAAAAAACTGCCAAAAGGATGAACGCTATAGCTCCAGGACTCCTCACACAACCCGTGTTCGTTTAGTCAGACATGCACATTTAAAAGCAGTACTAACCCGTCTCAGCCTGGGGCTGCTGCATCTCCTGCTCTGTAACAGGGACAGTTTCTGTGGCTTCGCCTGGCATTCTGGACTGCAACAGAAATCAACAATACACAAACATTACAAGTTTTGCAAAAAATTAAGTCAATAACATGTTTTAGACATGTGTTAGTCTGTGCTTTGTGCTCATGTGGCTACAACTATTCAAAGTGAGCAGTACACTAGGCCTCTGCTGTCAGCTGTTAACAGCCGGCTTGAATTAAACCCACTGCTGTGTTCACATCTGATCAAGTATCGAGCTCGAATGATAACATCTCACAAGTCCACTGTACGGAAACTGTGAGTTTGACAAAAAAAAAAAAAACACATAATATAGCATATTCAATATCATAACTACACAAAAGTATTGTTTTACAGGCTGTTCATAGGCGCGCGTGTAGAGTGATGCACATTTCACGTGTAACAGAGCAGCACTGTCCTCTATTAGAGCAAACACTACCCAAATAATAACAAAACAACGCGGACAGCAGGAAATTAGTTTTTGATCTTTCATAATATAATGTTACCTTGACATGTGTACCTCTGTATGTTTATAAATAATTAGTTTAATAGGCGAGATCAACTGTCCAATGAGTGATTATTACTGACGCACACAAAGCAAGTTCTTTTTGTCATTACATTGAAGAGTTTTCCCAAATATCGCTCTAGTCGTTTATAAAACTATATTTCGTATGATTTGAACGTTTCGTTACATTCCTCGCACACAGCGAGCGACGGCGCGTCTCGCTCCCCCATTTTGAACAGTCCACCGGTTGTGTTCATTAAGATATTTCCTCAACAATCAAGCCAAATAAATAAATCTTTACCATTCAGCACAGAGGAACACTAAAGCATCAATACAAGTAGTAAACGAGAGGTCAAACGCGTCAAAACAGCGTTGGATGACAGTAGATGTAACACAGAAGCACTCACTTATTCAGGGCACAGGATCCAAGATGGCTGTAAGAGAGGGCTTCTGACCTCCGCGTCGCTCTGATGTCACAGCTCTGCTTCCGGCCCCAACAGGAAGTTTCTTTTGGATACGCTTTTGCTGACAGCGAGAACCTACATTTTCAGGTAAAAAATATTGTTTATGTGCTTGAGCTCTGCTATTTTAGTGCGGTACTGTGTATACATTATTTAGACGTGATGGAGAATTCACAGTAACTGTTTTAAAAGAAAGAATGTATTTTTGTTTACAAAAAAGAGCAATGCTATGCTAACCTGACAATTGTTGAAATTGTTTGCCTGACGTAACGTTACTAATATTACGATCAAAAGCACTTTCTTTCATCGTAGGAGTTTAATGTGAGAAAATACATTAAGCAGGTTAAACAACTTTAACGTTATGTTATATACTGTTGTGCCTAAACCGGGGGTTTTCAGTCTTTTAGGTCACGGACCCCCAAATATCATCATCCTAAAATGTTAAAAGGCAGCGATATATTTTCATGTTTAAAGACCCAAGTTATACTTTAAAAATAATATTATATACATGAGAGAATATAATTAGTATATCTTTATTTTTTTTACTCTCTCATCTCTTACATTGTTTGATGTATTTTAGTTTTAATATCTATCTATCTATCTATCTATCTATCTGTGTGTCTGTCTGTCTTATTTTTTTTTATAATCGATTTGATCTTACATTTGTTACACAGTTTTTCTCTCAAATTTTCCATGGACCCCCTAGTACTGCTGCCCCTTGGGGGTCCCAAGACCCTGGTTTGAAAATCCTGGCCTAAAACATTCTTCTGTTTAATTCCAGCAGAGAGATGTCTATGTCCCATTTGTATGGACGTAGAGGTGATGAGGAGGAGGATGGTGTGGAAATTGAAAAGTTTGAGGTGACCGAGTGGGACTTGGCCAATGAGTTCAACCCAGACAGACGCAGATACAGACAGACTAAAGAAGAAGCAACTTATGGGATTTGGGCAGAGCATGACTCTGATGATGAGCGGCCCAGCTTTGGGGGGAAAAGGTATTTCGGCTGTTAAACTGCTAGAGACCTTAGTGACTAAGCGGTAAATGTCACTGGCAATGTTAAATATTGATATTTCTATACACACAGATCGAAAGACTATTCAGCTCCCGTGAGCTTTGTGAGTGGTGGCATACGAAAGACTGCAGCTGAGGAGAAAGCAGAGCAGGAGGGTTCAGATGACTCGAATGATAGTGGAGATGCACCTCCTCCACCCCGCGCTGCTGCTCCCAAAAAACTCCAAACGGTAAAGTGAGATGTCAATGCACAATAACAATGGCTTTAATTTTGAATATCGGATCCAAAAGTATGAGGGTTAATACAAATTTTAAAAAATGTTTTTGAAAGCCCAGAAGTCTTATTTTATTTGATCAGAAATACAGTAATATTGTTACATTGTATTACTATTTAAAATTATTATCTATTTTAAAATATCTAAAATTACATTTTTCCCAAGCTGAATTTTCAGCATCATTACTCCAGTCTTCAGTGTCACATGATCCTTCAGAAATTATTCTAATATGCTGATTTGATGCTCAGAAAACATTCATTCTTATTATTAATGTTGAAAACAGTTGTGCTGCTTAATAGTTTTGTGGAAATGTTTTGAGGATTATTTAATGAATGTCATTTCTGTCACATTTGATCAATTAAATGAGTCTTTGGCTCGTAGAATAAGAGTATTTCTTTCTTTCAAAATATAAAAGTCTTACTGATCCCAAATATTTGAACAGTAGTGTAATATATGTCTTTGAATTCTTTATTTTAGGGTGTGAGCTTTAAGACATCCCAGAGGTTTGCAGGTGGTATCAGAACAGGGCAGGACCTCGGATCCTGGGAGAAACACACACGAGGCATTGGTCAAAAACTTCTGCAGAAGATGGGCTACGTTCCAGGAAAAGGATTGGGCAAAAATGCTCAAGGTAAAACAATTCAGTCCTTTATTTCATACCTCAGTATACTGGTTTTACTGCATTTAGCTTATTGTGAATTATGTTATGCATCATGTGCTTACTTGGGGATGGTGTAATGATGTTAATGTCCTCTTATGAATATCTTTGTGTGTAGGTATTGTGAACCCGATTGAGGCGAAGCTGCGGAAGGGGAAGGGAGCGGTTGGAGCATATGGTAATGAGAGGACCCAGCAGTCCCTGCAGGATTTCCCTGTTGTAGACTCTGAGGAGGAGGAAGAGAAAGTAAGTCAGCGTGAGCAAATTCCTGGTGGTTACAGTTAGGGATGCGCCGATCCGATATTCATATCGGGTATCGGCTCCGATAGTGCCATTTTTCTCGGATTGGGTATCGGTCAGAGAGGGCCGATCTAAATCCTAGATTTTTTTCTTTTTTTTCTTTCGATTGTGCGAATTATTCTGTGTTACTTCTGAAGCCATACGATAGCTTAATGTGAGCTACATATGAATATTTAAGTCCTTACATTAAAGTTATTGTTCGCAGTGAACAAATCAAATTCAAATGCTCAATCAGCGTTGTTTAAAAAAAATGCACATATTCAAATAAGCAATTTAAATTAAATAAAGGGATCCTTTTAAATACAAAATGGAGTCAGGAAACTAAAAAGCATTTGACTAAACAGATCAGCAGCAGGTCAAATCTTTCTTCAAGAGCTGTTTTCAAATTGTTTGCTTCATTTATTTATTTTTTTTAAATTTTGATTCCATCTTTGAAGGAGTTTCAGAGGGAGTTGGGGCAATGGCGTAAAGAACCAGGAACGGCAAAGAAAAAGCCCAAATATTCTTACAAGACTGTGGAAGAGCTAAAAGCTCATGGCAAGCTGACCAACAGGAGCATGAGCAGACCTGCTGGAGAACTGGCTCAAGTTAAGGTGAGAGTGCAGAACACTTGGAGTAATGCACCTCTTATATATCTCACAAGAAACAGTTAACCCATCCCTCCTGTGTTTCAGGTGATCGATATGACAGGCAGAGAGCAGAAGGTGTATCACAGTTACAGTCATATGAGTCAGAAGCACAGTGTTCCTGAGGAGGCCCCTTTGAGTGTGAGCACACGAGAACAGAAGACCTCTGGCTTCTCCTTACCGGAGCTGGAACACAACCTCGAACTGCTCATTGAGCTGACAGAGCAAGACATCCTACAGGTACAGTACTCATAAACTTGCACTAATTTACATTTTACATAAAATAATATTGTATAAATTAAGTAATATAATGCTAATTATAAAATTGTATGTAATAAAAATAATTTAGTAGCCTGTTTGTAAACCTTCACATCTTACTTCTCATATTTATATGATAATTAACTTCTTAATAAATGCTTGTTTTGGTCAATGATGGAGACAAAAAGCTAGTTCTTATGCTGCCTTCAAGTGCTACTGGAAACGTCCTAATTCCTGCTTCTGAAATTGTAATTATGAGTTTGTTGTGGTCAAGTGCTTTGTTGTCGGAAAGAACAGAAATCATGGTGGACAGCCTATTTATTCTTGCCTGTTTCTTGGGCAAACGTTATTAAAGCCAAAAGGTATAATACGGTTAGAGAGGCCGTTCACGTCTAATTTCTGACTAGGAAACCCGTATTTATGATTATTTCTGATAGCACGTGAAGGCTGCATGAATTTTCTTAATTTCTGTCTGTGGGTTTGTGTTGTGTGTGTGTATAGAGTGCACGACGTCTGCAGCACGAAAAGGACACTGTGTTGACCCTGACCCATGAGAGCGACGCACTGCAGGTCAGGCTGGCAGAGGAGGAACAGGCTCTTGGTCGGCTGGAGCAGGTGATGAATCTGGTGGATCGTTTTGAAGCGGGTGATAAGGAGGGCAACCCTGCGCTCTGCCTTCAGGAGTGCGCTAAGATTTTTCAACAGCTGCAGACAGAGTTCTATCAAGAGTATAAAACCTTGGGTTTGGGAGACCTAGCTGTGTCTGTGGTGCATCCTTTATTGAAGGAGAGACTTCGCAGCTGGGATCCACTGAAGGTATACATTTTATATAGTATGTATTTATACTGTTCAAAAGTTTGGGCTCAGCAAGGTTTTTTAATGTTTTTGAAAGTCCTTTATGCTCACCAAGGCTGCATTTATTTGTTAAAAATTAGTGCTGTCAAATGATTAATTGCAATTAATTGCATCCAAAATAAATATAAAATAAAAATAAAATGTTTTTGTTTACATAATATATGTGTGTGTACTGTGTATATTTATTATGTATATATAAATACATACAAATACAATTATAACATTTTTAAAACATTTTT